CGTGGCGATGGCGATGCAAGGGGTAGTTCCTCCACTGAGAGGCGGGCGTGGGAGGAGATTGTGGAAAGGGAAGCCCTTTGCTGCTCATGTCATCATCGTAGCAGCCCTGCAGGTAGCTGCGGGTGATCTCCACAGCGGAGTTGATGAGGGAAAGTGAAATTGCGGGAGAGGAGGGGCCGTGGGAGCTGCGAGGGGTGAAGTCTGGGGCCACCGTTTTGTTTTCTTCTGAATCTGCTTTCCCCGGTGTTGAAGACGGTTGTTTCTCCTCCTCCTCCTCCTCTCCACCCTGCTGTTCGTTGCTCTCCTCCTCTTGTTTCTCCTGCAGCAGGGCATCAGCCTTAGGGACTAAATAGTGGGAGACTGCCTGAGCACAGCGCTCCACCACATGGCCCATCTGCAGGAAGGAAGCCGCCGTCAAGTAGTTGACCAGCTCCTTGATAGGCACTTCCAGGCATCCCGTGTAGCAGGACAGCAGAAGCTGGCGCCCAATCTCTGGGCTCTGGAAGAGGGAGACCGTCACCTCCTGTGAATCATTGAGCAAGAACTGGTCACGCAGGAAAGGGGAGCACGCTGCAAAGACCACACGATGGCCAGGAACCCGCAGCTCGTTCACCTGCACCGTCACATCACAGAAGCGCCGTTGTTCCCGCAGCTGGTCCATGCGGTGCAGCACGCCATCACCGTAACCAGGAAAACGGAACTGCAGCCGCTCGCTGGCTGGGGCCATCCTGATCCGCCTGGGAGGGACAAGATGCAGGAAGGAGGAAGAACTGTGAATTATGGGCAGCAGTTCGAGGGGAAGGCGTGTGGATTTGGGGGAGTCTGATCCTTGCTTCAGAGATCGTGTTTCAGTCTCCGAGAGCAATGATGTTTGATGAAATTGAAGAAAAAAGAGTAGGATAAATGAAAACATTAATTTGGTGGAGAGGTCCTGATAAACGTGGTTGATTTAAACTCTATCTCCGTGTGGACAACACCCCCACAACAATTATGTTAAGGCAAGGGTTCAATGTAATCCATTTTCTCAAGTTCAGATATATTGAGAAACTCAGTTTAATTTTACAGAACTTACTCACTTCAGCCGAAACCTGGTTGATATGGGTACAAAACAACTCTGCTCATCAACATTTGGTCCTTGTTTATGTTGAACCCTAGCTCATTTCACAACTAAACTGAGATGTCCTCCCGGTTGGGACAAACGTAGCATGGAAAAATAAGGAATGTCAAAATATTAGTGGTTGTGAAGAGTTTGCCTAAGTGGACGGGAGGGCTTGGATTACTTTACATCCGGCCTCTTTTCTGTGTTTTTCAAAACCCTGCTTTCTTGAATAAAACCTCGCTAAAGCAGCAAATTATTTTGCTTTCCGCCCCCACGTGCCCTCTTACTATTATTCCCGAAAGCACCCTACGCAGTTGGAGTAACGAGCGCGCGTCTTCTGGCGCGGCGACCTCCGCTCTCGTACGTAACTTGCGAGCTAGCCCTCGCCCGTTGCGCTATTGGCGCAGGGTCGTTTCGCATTCCAAGGCTATTGGCAGAGCGACCTCTGGAGGATCCTTTGCTCGTCCCAATACGCCATTCACGTACCCGCTCGTTCCTGAAACGGCTATTCATAGACACTACTTACGCTCCCGGCCTAAGGGGTGCTGCCTCTTTATACTAGAACGCACGTTGCGCTTCTGGAGCCACTCACCTAATTGCCGCCTCGGGCACCTAATTGCCTCCTTCCAGGGGCCACCTTCGCTTCTGAAGTCCTCAAAGACGGCCGCTCCGCACCGGCTCCCTCAGGCCTGCTCGCAGCACCTCGGCTGCGCCGCCATCTTGGAATCCGCCTCTCAAAGGGTCCGGGACTTTTTCCTCCCAGGCGGGCAAGGGCAGGGATTGCTCCGCGCAGCCACCCGCCTCCGGGGCGCAGCACGAGGGGGACCTCCGTAAGCGGGTGGGGGAGTGAAGGGTCATGCAAAGTACTGGTATCGCTCCGCGGGAAAGAGTCCCAAGCCTCAGTCCCCCTGAAGCCCCATAGGAAGCCGAGCTCCCCCCCTCCAGTCGTTCCTGACTCTCCATAGCAACCTTCCCCAAGGTAGTGCCTCCAGAGCGTTGGACTACAACTCCCATTGTCCTCAGCTAGCATGATGGGAGGGGAGTTGCAGTCCAACACATCTGAAGGGCACCAGCTTGGGGATAGGTAGAAGACCACAACGCATCTCCAGTCCTCACTCTCTTATTTAACCCTTGATTGCATGAGTGTTTCTCAACCTTGGCAACTTTAAGATGGGTGGACTTCAACTCCCAGAATTCCCCAG